GAGAGAGAGAGAGAGAGAGAGAGAGAAAGAGAGAGAGAGCGATAGACGGAAAGACAGTCAGACACAGAGACAGACAGACAGACAGACAGACAGACAGACACACACACACGTACACAAACAAACATAGACATACATAAACACCATAAAAGAAGAACATGCTGTCTGGAGAAAAAAGACGAATTTTCTGCTTTCCTTAACCCATACTGTAAGAATACTTATTATATAAATCTAAAAGATTACGTTTATATATGTACATGTATAGCTAAACACTATGGTTTTCAATATTTTCATTGGATGTTATTTTGCATAGGATATGCCCATGACAATCAATGGTCTAAGATTGGTCTTGGCATAACACGCAATCATCATCCTAATGTGGTTGTGGTTTCACTGTGGACAGATGGAGATATTTCTTCAATGTTTGCACTATAGTATTGATTGTATTTGCGGTGTAATGAGAGCCCTTAGGGCAGTCGGTTTTTTTGTGTGTTTTTTTCTTGCGAATTCACACCAATAATTGTGTGCTCGGCATGCATTCACGTTAATTGCCATTGACATAAAAGATGTGGTCATACCGTGTTTCTGTTCCATGTTATTGAACAGCGTACAAGGTGAGGGTGTTGAAAGGGTTTTTTGGGTGGGAATTTTTTTTTACAGCTCAAAATCTCAGTTTGATAGTTTTGAAGATCACGACCTTGAATAGATTAGATTAGTTTGACAAAATTATCTTTTTGTTGAATTCGAAATCACGGTAGGGGCAAATGTTAAACAGGGATCTTTTTAGCGAAAGCGTGAGGTCTAGATCTGAGTCCGAACAGGACTTGAATGATAATATTTACTCTCGGCCTAAAATCCTCAAAGATGACCAAATTCTTCACTGTGTAGAGTAAAATATTTTATATAAAAAACTGACAACAGGAGAGGTGATGACACAGGAAAAGAAAAGACAAGATGGTATAAAAGAGGTCGAGTGTAAAAAAGAATGGAACAGCAAGGAAACTGTTACAAACAGACAGACCGACAGATAGATAGACAGACAAACACACAGACAGGCAGATAGATAGGTAGATAGATAGGTAGATAGATAGATAGATAAATAGATAGATAGATAGATAGATAGAT